ATTCACTCCTTGAGTTTGTTTCGGCAAAGTCTGTTGGATTTCTCATTTTTCAGGTCGTTTGGTAATTTTTTATACCCAAATAATAAAAATATATGCAGGGAGCAGCAAAAAGTATACACACCCTATATATTTCCTCACCATTGGAAAAACTTGTCGAATAGCTTTCCAAAACTACCCCACTTAATATAATTATCTTCCTCATTTCTCAGTTGATAGGCATCCAAAAACTAACAAAGTTTGATCCATGTTTTAACGTTTTTCGGGAGCACTGAAAATCAATAGTGTAATCATTGTCATGGACTACTATTGAAAATCATTCAAAAGTTATCAAATCCTGCCAGTATTGAATTATATTCATGTTAATTTAGAAAAGTACAATTTCCTATTTGAAATCTTGAAGAAAATTCAAGAGAAATAATGATTGTCATTTGAAAGGATTACTTAACGCAATCCTGATTGGCGACGAATCAAAATTTCTGCATATTTCATCAAAAACTCATCAAATCGCTTCGTGTATTACATATTTTATTAGGTTCTTTAGAAATTCGATCGATGACGTCACAGTGTAGCCATATTGATTTTAGAAAAATGTTTCCTGCATCGTCATTTTATCAAAATGTTAATTGTGATATTATCCTTGAAATAGTTATTCATGTACCAAGGAGGAAAAACTGTAAATATAGTCGAGTCTAGCAATCAGGCGAGACAATACAGTTTTTCGCCGAGGTGCATATTACATTTTGCAAAATCTAAAATAAAAAACAACTGCATGACGCCCCAGCCAATCATTTCGTCGTTCCCTGGTACACAAAAAGTCCATGGTACCTTTGATAATAGGTTCATTCGGGATTTCAGAACTGTTCAAGAATCCTTCTCGTCGTTTAGAATCCTAGGACAGTTTCAGAACGGTTCACAAATTACGAAAACCCGAACGCAGCAGAAGAGAACCTCTGAGAACATAACCTCTATTCAGAATTTGCGAAAAATACAATAGTTTGGAACCTGTATCTTTATTCGAATAATATCCTGAGGCTTCAAACTCTCCTTTGAGTCTATTCATAATATCACTGGAAACCATTTGTGGAGGAATGGTGAATATATTCGTAGCTAGATTTTCAATATGTTTTGTTCCTTGTACATAGTACATACCTACATGAATTTCGACATCCACCTGAAATGTTTAATGAATTGTGTATCTAAATATAATGGCAAAGTCTCCCGATTATATAATCCGCCATTTTTAGGTTTATCTAACAAAAGTTCGAGAATTATCAGATTCGGTAAAATATTTTCAGCAATTTCAGCAAGTAACTCCTTCTCCACTGCTTCCTGTGAAGATGAAGATCTACTACTATCAAATGAATGTACTAACTCCATAATATTGAGAAAATATTGAAAAGAGCAATAAACAGTAGAATAAACAAAAAAAAGACGTTATACGCTACAAAAATTATCCTAGAACGGTTCATGCCGTTACCCCCGAAACCACAGTTTAAGGAATGGGTGTCCGAAACTAACAATTGGGGGTAACGTTCATGCTCGAGAGCAGGTACTGGTTTCGGATAGTTTTAGGAACGTCCCAGGAGTCCCAGGACGATTCTGAAAAAATCCGAACACGTATACTGCCGTGCAAAGGAAAAACGCAGTAAATACAAAAAAGTAAAATGGCAGTAAACACCCAAACAAGTTGAAAGACCAATTGATATCGTTTCATTATGAATATATTCACGAAATTCAGTCCAACTAAGTATTCATTGTTAAGGTTTCAATCCCTGTGAATTTCAGAATAATTCGAAGAATGTTTCAAAAAATATATCAATTACTGTGATTATGATTATGAGGTTGGGCACTTTTCATAAAACAAAACGTAGTAAGTAACTACTTACTGTATTTTAATTTATGAAAACAATTCATATATTGATAATCATGTAACAGTATGTGTTTTTCATAATATTTAATTAAAACTCTCTTACATTCACAAAATGAGATCACAACTGCAATGCCGTATTGGTAAATAAAAACGAAAAATATGAAATATTCATTGATATCATATAAAATAATAATGGATAGGAAATAAAAACTGTAAGAATAAAAAAACATTTCTCTGAAGTAGAATTAATTTTCTTTTTTGACTGGGAGGTTTTTCCAGAACTGTAAACGTGTTTTGTCCATCAGTGGTCCCACTACTTTCAATAAAGCCTCCTTCTTGTTTATCTCGATCCCGTCTTCCACACTCAGAGCAGTGGGTTCAGTGCCAATCGTTTTCATTGAAGCATTTTTGATGAAATTCAGTTCAAATTCTGTTTCAGAACTGAAATCTGTTTTGTACTTCAATGTGAACTTTCCTCGCTCTGCTCGGATCTGTACAATATCACTTAAATATGGCTTAGGATGATTGAGTTTTATATTATTAGTCTTTGCCACGGAATGATGGTCTCTCCATTGAAAAAAATCATTGATCTGCATGGATTTTACATCAACTTTCCCTGAATTCGATTTCGAAACTGAATCTACGAAGTCCAGGAAATCATATGTTTTGGTTTTCTTCTTTAGACTCAATTCAACTTGATGGTGAAAACTGTCGGCACTCATGAAAGTGTGCCCTGGTTCAAAATAATTAACTTCCAAAGTTTCAAGCGACACCATGTTAGAATTCACAATATGAACAAAAAAACTGAGCATACACCAGTTCTTGTTTTGAGCGGAACAATTATCGAGCCAAATGATTATATTCTTCTTATCTCTATTATGCAAGAAGAATTGGTAATAGGTGCTTATAATATCCTCCTTTTTTCGCGAAGTTATTGCTTCGTGCCACAGAACTGCGAATGGTCGTCGAGATTTCTGTACTCTCCCCACCGGTACAAAACTCTCGTTAGATGTGAGACGTCTGATGAAAATAACTGCCTTGAACATATCCATACGGGGTAACATAATTACCTTCTGTAAGTCAGCCGATATGCACAGGGTGTTTTCATCGAATATCATATCTGCATGTTTTTTGTAACGTTTCCTACTTTCTACAACTTTGGAATTATGTGCGGACCATTTACTGCATATCTCACATTCTGTGCCTAAATTGTTCTTAGTATGTTCTGCATTGTGTAAACGAAACGTCTCACAATGTTCACACTGTTCATGACCAAGTTTTGTGAAATGAATGTTCATTTCGCCCACTACTTTACGGTATAGTTCATATGAAATTTTTGTATTTGGGTACTTACGACAGAAATCGTTGAACATAAAGTTAATTGTGACGTCATCCGGTAAGTATCTAACGTTGGGAGCGTGTTCTCTCCTGTAATGCGAGGATTCCGGATGGAAGGACTCAATGTGCAAATGTATCTGATCTCTGTCAATTTTGGCTTTATTGGGATGATGCCCACGCCGATCGGGTGCAGGGGTGCTTGAAGACCTTGCAACTGTTGATAAAGCACGGAAAACAATGCCGTCGTTCTTGGGTTTGTAACCGAGAGTCGTCAGAAAAAATAGTTTGCAAACCTGCAGCTTTGTACCTTCTTTACTATGGAGATGATATTGTATAGTCATATTTCGTTGAGATGATTCTGTTGTTAGCGTCCTACGTTTGACAGAATTTCTCGAACACTGATGTAGAATGAAAGATTTCTGTTGTTCCCAGTTTAACTTCCAGTACTCGCTATTGATTTTGTACCTTTGCTCATGATCAAACTTGTTACCACATTTCAATTTACACTTAGCGACGTCACATCCTCCTAAAACTCTATGATTTTCTTGCAACTTCAATCGTTTTTCCTGTAATTGTTCAATTTTGGGTCGTTGTTTCCTTCTTTTTCTCACTGTTCCATTTTTTGTATACTCTGAAACATTATTATAGTATGAACTAATTGATACTTCAATATTGCAACTTATGAATACTAACCTCCGTCGTGTGCCTGGACAGTTGCTTCTTGTATTTCTGCTTGTGATACTTCTTCCTGGATTAGTTCTTTGCTTGATTCTTTTTCGAGCAATACTTCTTCCACTTGTGATAACTGCTGGTTTGGGTCTAGAAATGGTAATATTTCGTTAGTCAATTGCCAATTGATAATATGTGATGAAGATTACCAACCTCCTGCTAGGCTGACGAAGTCTATGATAGTAGTATCATCCTCGTTTTCGAGATCTTCTTGAAATATGATTGGTATGTCGTCTATTTCATTGAGACTCTCAATTGCTACTCCTGGCATGATGATAATGTTTTCATTTGTATCTACTTGATCAAGTTCTTGGATAACAGCTGGTATTTCTATCAGTTCACTTCGTCCTGCACTAATTTTAGGAATAAGAACATCCCCACTTTCGATATTTTCAGTTTTTTGCAAACAATCTATTTCCTGATGAGCCATTTCTACTTCTGGTAATGCCTCTATTTGCTGCTGCAACACTTTTACTCTCTGTAATTCCTTATCGCGCACCATCGCCGTCATTTTTGTTCCTCTACTTCCAAACATTTCGGTGTATAGATAAATAAACCTACCCTCTGGAATCAACGGAGACAAACTGAGCGGTGCTCATCTATCCGTGGGTTTATATAATTTACTTGTTGATTCTTGTCCGTACACCTAAGTACCGTAAGTTAAAATGTAGTATCTACGAATTGTAAGTTAAAATACAGTATCTACTTGCGGATACTGCTTTCTTTCTTACTCAGATGCAGATACTATATTTTGAGGTACAAAAGGAACAATTTTTGCACTTACTGTGATCATTTTCACGATAATATCTCAGCTATCTTTGTAAATACTGCATTTTTTCTTGCATATTTGAATTCAGCGCGGTCGAATACATAGGTGTAGATGAAAAACTCATTTTCGACTTTTTCGCACTTACTGCGTTTTTCCTTGGCACGGCAGTATAGAGGTCCTAGAACAGTTCCACAAAACCCGAACGCGACCGATTCTACTGTGCAAACTCCTGACAGTTCTAGAACAGTAATAGTTCGAACCCGAATGAACCTAATCAAGGATGGTATTACTCACCACGTCTGGGTCCATTGGTCGTCCCCAGCGCACCTAGCGCGCGTCGGCCCACGGCCTCGGAGTCGAAGAGCCCCGGCGGGATCGAAACGATCACGGCCGCCCAAAACAACAGCCCCCCGACCCGCGGCCGGCCGCCCGCGTCGGGCAAGCCAAAGTGTCGGCCCGATCGGCCCGCGATGGCCATCACATGGGGGAATCACCGTCGTCTCTCCCTATCAGATGCGGCCGTGAAAGGATGCCGGATCCGGTCTGCTGCATCATACTCGGCTGCGTATGAGATGGCGGCGGCGGTGGTGGTGGTTGTGGATGGTTGGCCGGATTTTGGTTAGTTCAGGACATCGCGGGTGAGTCACTCTTCCCGGCTCAACATCTGTAAAAAAGAAAAAAAATTATCGCTTGGAGCGCACGAAAGGAAATCCCTATAATGTTCAAAGAACATCGTGCGTTCCTACGGAGGATAGGGACAGGAGGTTGGTATTGGAATTTTTTTTGAACTTGAACTGGAGATTATAATTATGTTGTTGGTAATACTCCCTCAGGCAATGAATTCCAGAACCTAGCCGTTCTATGGATGAAGGAGTTTTGATAAAGTGCTGTTCGACATCTTTCGAGGTTGACAACGAAAGGATGTGCTTACTGGGCTTGTCTAGTTCGTCTGACTGGTACTGCTAGTGAAGGGATGATAGCAGAGATTTCCGAAGAAAATTTCCCGTGGAAGTATCAAAGAGTGAGTGAGTGTGGCGTCACGTGCCAGGCGAAAGTGGAAATGGGGCGTGAAGTAGGAATGTTTCATGAAGCTGCAGTCTTGGATATAAGGAAACTCTATATGTACAGGGTGCGCCTCTTAAAATGGAGGTTTGAGAGATATGAGAAAATGGTAAATGAATAAAGTTTTTTGAGACGACCCGAACTTTCATTTCGTGAAATTGTTTAATATACAGGGTCATTTGTTTTTCTGAAAAGGACATGAACATTGATCTTTTCAATGAAACACCCTATATATTATCCGAAATGTCGATAGAGCATTTTTTTCTGATTTCAAAAATATGTATATGACTTGCATATTTGGATGAAAAGTAGTTGAATTATTGATGATCAAAGTGTACCAAAATATCGCTTTATGAACCTTCACTTCATATCATCTAATGTAAGTTGAACATAGTGGGCTTAATGTCATGTATTGTTTATTATGGAATTGAAATCGTTCACTCTCAATAAAAAGAATATGAATGGACAGTTTGAATGGAAGATGCGGTATTTTGGTAAACTTTGATCATCAATAACTCAATTATTTTTTATACAAATATGCAACTCGTATATATTTTTGAAATCAGACAAAAAAGCACTATTGACATTTCACAAAATATACAGGGTGTTTCATTGAAAAAATCGAAGTTAATTTCTTTTCCGGAAAAACGAATGACCCTGTATATGAAGCAACTTCACGAAATAAAATTTTGGATCGTTTCAAACAACTTTTTGATTCAACATTCCTTAACATCTCTGAAAACAAAAGAATCAAGGAGGTTCCATTTTAAGAGGCGCACCCTGTACAACATCATCACATATACAGGATGTCCAAAAAATTGTTGGGACACAGAGCTACCACGTGTAGAGGAGGTCAAAATGAGTTGATTGTAAAAACTTCACAAACGATAAGATTTCCACAAAATTCTCAAACACACGACATGTTTCGCTAACACAGTAGCTTCGTCAGGTGATATACTGGTACGATGAACTAAACTAACATTGGCTTGCTTATACAGGGTGTTCCTTGAAGACATGCTAATATTTGAGGGGGTGATTCTCTGACTCATTTTAAAAAGAAAACTTCCTATAAACGTATGTCCTAAAAGTCTTAACTTTTGAGATACAGGGTGATGAAGTTTTGAAAAATATTCAGTTTTTTCATGATAACTAAGACAATATTGTATACATCTGTATGGAATTTGGTACACGTATTTTATGCATCAAGGTGCATTTTCTGATGTACGAAGATTTTCATTTTCTCGACCAGTGGCACCGTTACGGGAAAATTATTGTTTATATTTTACTCACTAAGGCTATTCAATTATGTACAAAAAATACCCTCTTGTTGATACTCGATAGAACGCTTCGTTTTCGAGAAAAAACGGAAAAACGAGACCTGACTTCAAATTTTGATGTTTGAGTACTCCATTCAAGACATCCATTACTGGATAACCACCGTATGTAACATTTTGAAATTTGTATACCGATTCAGTCACATAGCAGACTGAATTTTGCCATCTCGAAAAGCTATACAGGGTGGACAAAAAATAATCTATGCATATTTTCAACATTGACATATGTTCATATGGTGTTTTATTCTTGAAATGGGTCGAAGAATCGGCCCCTTGAATATTAGCATATCATTAAGGGACAACCTACTTTTTCAACCTGAAGGATTAGTTACCTGTGGGTAGGTTCGATAAATCTCCATTTTCGGCACAACATCTACATTAAAATACGGTGAACCAAATCGACTTCAAGTTTTCTGAAAATTCGCGAGACACATCAACGTTCAAATTTATTTACCTACATTTGGTGAGCAATATGGAGAATATAACCCTTCAGGGGTAGCTGGAATCATCCCCAACATGTTTATTTCAAATACAACCCTATGGCCGTGATTATTCAAAAACAAGTTATCAATCCCGAGAATAACGAATGAAATACAGATCAAGCAACTAAGTGAATCAATCTTGAAGGCTTTCCTGATCAAAACAAAAATTTATAGGTGTATTTATATCTCCAGCATGGGTATGAATATGAAATGCCATATCTGCTGAGATCGGAAACAGATCAAGTATTCGTCCCAACCCAAATAACCAACCGTTTTCTTGATGACGTCTAGTACATCCTTTTTAGTTCCTAGGAACTAAACTTGTTGCCTAGCAACATACCTATTTTTGTGTCAGTAATAGGAACGTCAATTCAAGAGCTAATTTTGGTATTAAAATGGACGACTTTTGGTGTCGGTTGCAGAAAAAGATTTTTGCATAACCCTATAGCGCTGACTAAGTATCTATAAAAATGTGGAAGGGCACCAACTTTTCTACGGTGTTCCAAATATGTCAGGAACTTGTATGATATCACCAACCATGCGGATAGCGTGTCTTTGAATGAAACAATGTTGCAATAATTACTAATATTATAAACGAATCAACCCATTTTTAATCGGATGTCCAATAACTACCTGTAAAACATAGTCAGGCTTCATTGTTCCTATCAGATAACAAATAGCCAATAACACAAACATTATACTAAAAGGATCCACATTTACAATACACGGAAAAAAAGGATTTGTTGCATCAACAAATTATTTATGCTGAGCAATTTTTTGTTGAATCAATCAGATACATGATTATTTCATAGAAGCAGCTTGTTCAAATCAAGAGTGTATTCTAATTGAATCAACAGTATAATATCAATTCCATCAACAAAATATATGGTCTTCCCAAAAACAAATTATGTCGATCCAAAATAATGTCGATGTTGATTCAACTATTTATAAACATTGTGTTGATTTGATCAAATAATGATCATTTTGATGAGAATATATCTTCGAAATAACATACAAGTTTTCTCATTCCGATGTAGCACAATGAACTCGTTTCGAACGGATCATTTGCTTGAATAGAGCAACGAAATATGTAATATCAATAAAATATTTTGTTCATTCAACATCAAGTTACATTTTCGCAACTACATGGCGATCTTATCGCCTCGTTTATGCCTGCCTCGAATTCATTATATACGTGAAGCCTGATTCTTTGTGTTTATGCTAGAAGTCGACTAGTTTCCTAGTTTAGTTTATTCTAATGATGTCAAATTCCAGAAAATTCCCGAATTAATTCTGAATTTGGTTCAACAAAACAATAAATACAGTTTCTCTTGAATAAACGAAATATTTCATTGAATCAACAAATAATTTCATTGAATCAACCAAATAATTCATTGAATCAACCAAATATTTCTTTGAAACAACCAAATATTTCATTGAATCAACTGAATATTTGATCGAATCAATATCTTGTTATTTTGAATCAAACAATATGATTGTTTGAGCCAATTCAATATCTCTTCATAAACAATTCATGGATTTGCTTGATTGAACAAGATCCACAGTTCATGCATGACATATTTACTTAATTCAAACTCCAAATTCGCTCTGAAACAAGATATAGATTTACTCAGTTCAAGATTATATTTTGTCGTGCATATATGATACTTTTATCTGCTTTAATCAATTAAATGTTGCTTGATTCAACAATTCCTTTTTTTTTTTTTTTCGTGTACTACGCCCCTCAGGCCTCAACACAGTATTGTGGCGTACCCGCCATAACAAACTAATCATGGAAGAAGAAAATTCTCTACAGTGTATTCCAAACTCAGAAACTTTCAGGGAAATATACATGGCGACTTACAAAGAACGCCTCATGCCAGTCATGCCGTAGTCATTGTCCGATTTTGAAGATTTGAATAATAAATGAATACTGTGAGAGAGCATTGATTTAAAAGTGGCACCTCGCACATTCCACAAAATGAAGATGGAGTAATAGAAATTGCAAATTAGCCTTTGTTTACCAGCAGTGACCATGCACACAATAATTATTAGAGCTGTTGGATAAACATAGTGGATATGTGTATTGTGTATGTCGACAAACATCATCGTTGAATATTTGTTTATTCAAAATATATAAATGAAAGCACTGTATAGCTGAAGAGAGAACACTTACTAAGCATTTACTTAGATTGTTTTCACCGAGATGATTTCTCACATCGGCCTGCTTTCCGAGTGGTCTGGATTTGAAAGAAAAAACAACACACAAGTACTTGTTATACGACGCTATACATAGTGGAGTATACTACGGCCTTGCCAAAAATGCTATCTCGGAAACTAAGCGAGATAGAGGTATAGTTACTTTGGAGAAAATGATCCCCATCGAATTTTGAGCAACTTTGATTTTTGTGTGTGGTCTGTCTGTCTGTACTCTGTGTTAATCATAAATCGATATATCTCCGGAACCCTTTGACATATCGACTTGAAATTTTGCCATCTTATTGAACTCAAAACAATATTGTCATTAAAATATGAAGGAAATCGGAAAACTCTAAGGTGGTTATTCCGGGGTTTTTCGATTTTTCACCGGAAGTTTCTTG